ATATCCCAATGCTACATTCCGCCAATAATATTTAGTTCAAATTTCAGGATTCCAGCTTCATCCGTTTCTTCAAATTCATATTGTACCGAACTTAGTACCGTTTTGTACTTTTCGTACATACATGAGGACACACACCTCCGAAATTGCCTCCTTACATCGACTCAACCTTGATTCCCATTCGAAATTTCAAGTTTTTAGTTCTAACGTTTCACATAATAGGAAATGGTACCAAATGTAGTACAGATTTTACTACTTTTCGTACACCTTTAGTGCGAATTTCCAAGAATCCTTTTGGTACATCCATCGTATACTCCATCAGTTTAGCTCGTTTTAAATTCTAGCCTTACTTCTTCCTCACTGTTTATTACCTTTTAATACTTTTCGTGCCGTTTTAGTGCGAATTTCCAAAAATCCAGCCATACCTGACCCTTTCGGTCCAAGAGTGACCATCACCCAAAATTTCAAGATTCTAGCTTTAGCCGTTTCGTTAAGTCAATTGTCTGACTTATTGACTAAATGATTCATTAACTCCAAGACGTAACGGCTAAGGCCAGAATCCTCAATTTTGGGTGAGGGCCACTCTAAATTATATAATTTTTTTTAAATATTATTTCTCAAAACCCAAGATTTTGAAAATAGTTTTTAATTACCTGATTTTTTTTTTTTTTTTTTTGGTCTCGAGTGCTTTTTCCCATTTCTGATCTAAAAGCCTTTAATTTGGAATGCCAACGTTTACTAACATCGCTGAAGGCCAACAAAACAGCCCAACATAATACTGCAAGCATGTCCATTCATGCAGCCATACATAATTTATAATGCATTTGAAGCAAACGCAGAAATACAAACGCTTTTCACACAAGGCCGCATTGCAACAAAGTCCAGAGAGAGAGGGAGAGAGAGAGAAATTGTTTTGCAAAAAGGTAGAAATTTCCTCTTAGCAGCTATGTGTGGGTGGATGCGTGTATGAGTGTGTGCGAGTGAGTGTTTGTAAGTTGAAATTAAATTATTTTGTAATAAAAAACGATTCGAAAAGGGTCGCCATGTTTGGAAATAACAAAAAAAAAATCAGGAAAGGACTTGAAATGAAAATTTAATTCTAGTTTTGGTGATGGGATATTTGGAAAAAATATACATTAAAACCGAATTAAAAATCTGATAAAATATCCTTCAAATAATCCATATTTATTTTCGCAAACAAATAACAAAAAATATTTAAGAAAAATAATAAAAAAAAATATTTGAAAAAAAAATTTTAAAAAAAATTTATTAAAAAAAATAAAAAAAAAAATATTTAAACAAAATATTTAAAAAAATCATTTAGTGGGTGCCTGAACTAAAAAACAAGTAAAAAAGCTATAAGTTCGGCCGGGCCGAATTTTGAATACCGTCCTCCATTTGGAACGAATTTGGCATTTTTCAAAAAAAAAAATCCGTGAAATCCGTATTATAGGCAACTTCTGTTTAAAGCCATTATAATGTTCAAGTGCGAAACTTTAAAAAAATCGGTGAATAATGTCGCTAAAATCATCAAAATAAAAATAATTAAAAAATATATATTTTAAGAAAAATATTAAAAAAAAAATATTTGGAAAAAAACTTTTTAAAAAAATATGTATTTAAAAAATATATTTAAAAAAATATTTTAAAAAATCATTTAGTGGGTGCCTGAAAAAAATCCACTTCAGAAAAACTAAAGAAAACAAGTAAAAAAGCTATAAGTTCGGACGGGCCGAATTTTGAATACCCTCCATATCAAAAAAAAAAAAAAAAACGTTAAAACCCTGGTTAAATATTTAAAATACCGAATGTAGCCGTTATATAAGGCAACTTCTGTTAAAAGCCATTACAATATTCAAATGCGAAACTTTAAAAAAATCGGAGAATAATCTAGCTAAAATCATCAAAATACCGAATATCGGGAGGTGCCGTTATAGGGGGGCTATACGAAGACGTGGACCTATATCGCTCATTTTCTGTCCTAGGATGTAGTATCCATTACGAACTTCAAATACCAAAATTGATACAATTCCGGTAAATAATGTCGCTAAAATCATAAAAATACCGAATATCCGGGGGTGCCGTTATATGGGGGCTATACGAAGACGTTGATCTTCATGGCCCATTTTCTGTTTTATACTGTAGTATTTGTTACGAACTTCAAATACAAAATTGGAAATAGTTCCGGTAAATAATGTCGCTAAAATCATCAAAACTTCGAATATCGGGAGGTACCGTTATATGGGGGCTATACGAAGACGTGGACCTGAACAGACAATTTTCTGTCATAGGCTGTAGTATCCACTACAAACTTCAAGTACCAAAAGTGAGATAATTCCGGTGAAAAGTATAGCTAAAATCATCAAAATACCGAATATCGGGAGGTATCGTTATATAAGGGCTATACGAAGACTTGGACCTGCACAGAAAATATTCTGTCGTAGGCTGTGGTATCTATTTCGAACTTCAAATACCAAATTTGAAATAGTTCCGGTAAATAATGTCTCTAAAATCATCAAAATACCCAATATTGGGAAGTACCGTTATATGGGGGCAATACGAAGACGTGGACCTATATGGCTCATTTTCTGTCCTAGGATGTAGTATCCATTACGAACTTCAAATACCAAAATTTAGACTATTCCTGTAAATAATGTCGCTAAAATCATCAAAATACCGCATATCGGGAGGTACCGTTATATGGGGGCTATGCGAAGACGTGGACCTGCATGACCCATTTTCAATACCAAATTTCCTGCAGACATACATATACATTTGAGTAAAATTTTATCAATCTACTTCATTTCGTTCGGAAGCTAGAGTGATTTCCACAGGCGGATAGACGGACATCGCTAAATTGACTTAGAATTTTATGCTGATCAAGAATATATATACTTTGTGGGGCCCTAAATGTATATTTCGAGGAGTTACAAACGGAATGACAAACTTAATATACCCTCCATACTACAATGGAGAGTATAACAATTAAAAAAGTATCGCCACGTTTAGAAATACGAAAAAAATCAGGAAAGAACTTCAAGTGAAAATTAAATATTAAAAACGTATTAAAAACCTCATCAAATTTCCTCCAAAAAAATACATATTTATTTTCCCAAAACAATATAAAAAAATATTTAAAGAAATATCTAAAAAAATATTTAAAAAAAAAATATTAAAAAAAAAATATTTAAAAAAATAATTTTGTGGGTGCCTGAAAAAAATCCACTTCAGAAAAACTAAAGAAAACAAGTAAAAAACATTAAGTTCGACCGGGCCAAACTTTTAATACCCTCCACCTTAGGGTAAAGGAAACATTAGAAGAAATGTGGCAAAAACCATTAAAATGCCGAATATCGGGAGGTACCGTTATGTGTGGGCTCTAGCAAATCGTGGACCTACACATGCAAGGTTCCGCCAACGGAGCTAGAACCCATTATGACCTACAAATACCAATTTTCAGACAAATACGTGAAAAAAGGGGCAAAAATCATCAAATTACCGAATATCGGGAGGTACCGTTATATGGGGGCTATACCAAAACGTGGACCTATAATTACAATGACTCGCCACACGAACTGGGACCCATTATGATCTACAACTACCAAATTTTCAGTGAAATTCGTGAAAAAATCAGTCAAAAATCATCAAATTACCGAATATCGGGAGGTACCGTTATATGGGGGCTATACCAAAACTTGGACCTATAATTACAATGACTCGCCACACGAACTAGGACCCATTATGACTCACAAACACCAATTTTTACACAAATCAGTGGAAAAAATTTTGCAAAAACCATCAAAAATATCGGGAGGTACCGTTATATGGGGGGTATACCAAATTATGGACCCATACATGCAATGTTTCGCCACCGGAGCTGGAACTCATTATGACCAACAAATACCAATTTTTAGACAAATCCCTTAAAAACTGTGGCAAAAATAATCAAAATATCGAATATCGGGAGGTACCATTATATGAAGGCTATACCAAAACGTGGACCTATATATGCTATGTTTTGCCACACATACAGGGACCCGCTATGACCTACAAATACCAATTTTCAGACAAATCCGTTAAATAATGTGGCATAAATCATCAAAATACCGAATATCGGGAGGTACCGTTATATGGGGACTATACCAGAACGTGGACCGATATATCTTATTTTCAATACCAACCATCCTAGACACAATACCAATTGCTCTGCAAAATTTTGGCGCTCTACGTCAAATAATGTGGGCTGTATCGTGATTTCAACAGACAGACAGACAGACGGACAGACAGACAGACAGACAGACAGACAGACGGACATCGTTAAATCGACTTAGAATTTTATGCTGATTATAAATATATATACTTTATGGGGTCTACGACGAATATTTAAGGATGTTACAAACGGAATGACAATGTTAATATACCCTCCTTTCCAAGTTGGAGGGTATAAAAATTAAAAAATCTTATTTAATAAAATATTTCCCCCTAAGAAAATCCATGTTTATTGGGCAGTAAAAACAAAAATATGTTCCTCCCCTTTATCATTCCAAAACGCAACCACCCTTGCTTGGAAAAAATTCTCAAAAGAAAAAATTTTAAAGACCAAAAAATAAAAACAAGTTTTTGAATAAAATATTTTCTCCTTAAACAAATACGCATTTGTTGTCCAGTAAAAAAATATGTTTTTTTTTCCTTCCCTTTCATCATTCCAAAACCCCCCACCCTTTCTGCTCGCCAAACACTGCATCAACAACAAGCAGCGAAAAAAAAACAGAGACAGGCAAGGCACACTCGATGCTTTTACAGATGCATTTAAGTTTTTTTTTTTTTTTTTTGTAACAAAAAAAAAAAATAAATAATGAATAAATAAAAGACACCAACAACGACAAAAACACCTTGTTTAATATTTTATACCATTAAGTGCATGCATTTTAGAGAAAATGTTTTATTTAAAAAAAAGATGCCATGAAAAAAATTACAGCAAGAGAGTGAAGGTGGACGGAGAAAAAAGTGAGCTTAGTTTTTCTTTCTTTATCATACGGTACCTTGTTTCACAACAACAATAACAAAAATTTATTAAAGAAAAATTAGAAATTGCAAAAACAAATATTAAGTTAAATAATTTTAAATTGTGAAGGATTCAAATCCACGTTTGCGGCTCCTTTAAAAGCCAGGAGGCATGGGTATTTCAGGGGCCGGCAATCCAGGTGGCATTTGACGGCGGACCTAGGGATGAAAAAAAAAAAATATAAAAAAAATGATTGAAAAAGTTATAAGATACTTCAATCCAATAATCCCGAGATTTGTAGGGATTTTTTTTTTTTTGGGAGGCAAGAGATGCATTTTTGAAGGAGATTTTTAAAGCTCCTCCAGGTCTTAAAACATGGATTTAACAAAGATTTTTTTGAGGGACTAAAAGACCATAAAAGCCGATCCTTAAAGAATTTTATAAAGGACAAAGAACCCCTAAAAATTGAATTTTGAATTTTTTTTTCGATGGACAAAGTAACCCCAATAAGAGGATTATTTAAGGGACTCCTAACACGTGAATTTTATTTGAAAATTTGCCGGAGGACAAAGGGCTCCCCAAAAAATAGGTATATTTTAAAAATATATTGTCAATGATACCGAAACATCGATTTTTCGAAGTATTTTCTGAAGGACAAAGGAACCCTAAACCATGGATTTTTTTAAAGAATTATTCTGAAGGATAAAAAGGCCGTAAAAATTGGATTTTTTATGGAATTTTTCCGAAGGATAAATGCCACCGAAAAAGTCGATTTTTAAAAGAATTTTTTAAGAAATTTCTTGGAAGGACAGGTGAACTTTTAAAAGGTGGATTTTTTAAGGACTTTTTCTGAAGGGCAAGGGGGTTGTAAAATGTGGATTTTTCTATGAATTTTTCTGAAGGACAAATGGAACAGAAAACGTGGATATTTTTAATTTTTTTTTTCAAAAGACAATGGCACCCTATAACGTGGATTCTCTAGAGACTTTTCCTGAAGGACAAAGGGACCCTAAAACTTGAATTTTTTAAGGTTTTTTCTGAGCAGAGGGATCCAAAAATTAGAATTTTTTCGGAAGGATAAAGGAAGAGTAAAACGTATGGGGTTTCAAATAATTTTTCAAAATTGTTGAAAGAAAAATTATGGAGGACAGAGGGACCCATAAGGGATTTTTCTGAAGGACACCTAAAACATGGATTTTTAAGGATTTTTTTCCGAATGACTGGCGTACAATTTCAAAGAAGGACAAAACAATTTTTCTGAATGACTGACGTATACTTTTAAGGATATTTTCCGTATTTTTTAAAGATTTTTTCTGAAGGACAAATGGACCCTATATTGTGAATTTCTTAAAGAACTTTCCCCAAGAACAAAACGTGGATTTTTTAAATATTTTTTTCTAAAGGACAAGGGACCTTAAAAAGTGGATTTTTTAAATATTTTTTCTAAAGGACAAGGGACCTTAAATCGTGGATATTTTAAAATATTTTTTTTCTAAAGGACAAGGCACCAAAAAACGTGGATTTTTAAAATATCTTTTTCTAAAGGACAAGGACCTAAAAACGTGGATTTTTTTAGACGGACTGACGAGTATTTTTCAATGAATTTTTATACGTACTGACGAGTATTTTTCGAAGAGATTTTTTGAAGGACAAAGGGACCCTAAATCGTGAATTTTTAAAGAATTTTTCTAGAAAATATTCAGGCAGACCTAAAACGAGTATTTTTTAAACACTTTTTTCAAAGACTTCGATTTTTTTTGGATTTTTAAATAATTTTTCTAAAAACGTGAATTTTTTAAATATTTTTTTTCTAAAGGACAAGGGACATAAAAACGTGGCTTTTTTAAATATTTTTTTTTTCTAAAGGACAAGGGACATAAAAACGTGGATTTTTTAAAAAAATATTTTCAAAGGATTTGGATTCTTAAGTTTTTTTCGGAAGGACGTACAGACCCTGGAACTTGCATTTTTGAAGGAATTTTTTTAAAGGACCAAGGTTCCTATAAAGTCGATTTTGAAAGGATTTTTTCTGAAGGACAAAAGGACCTAAAAACGTGGATTTTTTTAGACGGACTGACGAGCATTTTTCAATGAATTTTTATACGTACTGACGAGTATTTGCCGAAGAGATTTTTTGAAGGACAAAAGGACCCTAAAACGTGAATTTTTAAAGAATTTTTCTAGAAAATATTCAGGCAGTCCTAAAACGAGTTTTTTTTAAACATTTCGTTCGAAGAATTCGATTTTTTTTTTTTTTTTTGGATTTTTTAAATAATTTTTCCCGAAGACTTTCAGACAGGAAACTTGCATTTTTTTAAAGGATATTCCAGAAAAAAAACTTTCAGACCTAAAACGAGGATTTTTTAAAATATTTTTTTAAGAACTTTTCGCTTTTTTGGATTTCTTAAAGGATTTTACTCGAAGACTTTCAGAGAGTAAAATGACATTTTTAGAGCATATTCCGGGAAGGACTGTCATACCTAAGATGAGGACTTTTTAAAATATTTTTATTCAGGTACTTTTTGACCTCAAAGCGTCGATTTTTGTTAAATATTAAAACAAAATTTTCAGATATTAAAAATGATATTTTTTAGGATTATTTTTAAGGACGATTTTTTTTCAACTTCAAAATCCTGGAGAGAAATCCATTAAAAATCCTCGCTGTGAGTCCTTGAAAAGTTCCTTAACAACATCGTTTTGATGTCTGGTAGTCTCTGAGATTTTTAAAGGATTTTTCTCAAGGATTTTTAAAGGATTATCTCCAGGACTACGAGGCTTAACAATGCGGATTTTATTTTTCTCCAGGACTTGTGGACTTAAAATGTGATTTTTAAGAATTTCTCCCAAGGACTTGCAAACCTAAAATCGTGGATATTTCCAAGGGGTCTAGACGAGGGTTTTTTTTTAAGAATTTATCTCCAAAACTACCGCGCCTAAAACAGCGGATTTTCAAAGACATTTCAAGGACTAAAAGAGAGAGCTGTTTGAATTTTTTTTTTTTTTTTTCAAGAATTTAAAGTTCAGTTTTTTTAAGTTTTTCTAAATGATTTAAAATGTGAACCGAAAGACACAAAGGGATATTTTTTAAGGGATTTTTAAAGACTAAAGGATTTTGAAGGACTTAAGCGTGGGTTTGTTAAACTGTTTTTCAAGAATTTTTAGGGACTGTACGAATTCCAAAGGATTTTTCAGGACATCCAACGTGTTTTTATAAGGGTTTTAAATAATGTTAAAGGACTTTTTAAGGACCTAAGACGTGAATTGTTCTGAAGCATCTTCAAGGACTCAATGCGTGGATTTTTAAGGACTATTAAGGATTTAAGGCATGGTTTTTTTAAAGGATTGTTAAGGATTTAAGGCGTTTGAAGGACCATTAATGGCTTAAGGTGTGGATTTTTTAACGGACTATTAAGGACTTTAGGCCTTTGAAGGACCATTAACGGCTTAAGGCATGGATTTTTTAAAGGGCGATTAAGGACTTAAGGCGTTTGAAGGACCATTGACGGTTTAAGGCGTGGATTTTTTTAAGGACTAATGATGTAGATTTTCATTTTTAAAAGATTTTTTATTTTTAAAAGCATTTTCGATTCTTAAAATGTTGTTATGGATTTCTGATTTTTCAAGAATTTTGAAGGAATATTTTTTTTTTTTTTTTTTTGTTTTGGATTTTCCAAAGGGTCTTTTCCATGTTTATTAGACTTGGAGGCTATAGAGTAGTCAATTTTGGAGGTGCCCTAAAGCCTTACAATTTTGATTTTTAAAGAATTTTTGGAGGTACGCCAGATGTCTTACAGCGGTGATTTTTTTAAGAATTTTTGGAGGTAACCTTTCAACGAGGATTATAAAAAAAATTTAGAGGTTCCCAGAGTCCTTAAAAGTTAGTTTTTTTAAAGAATTTTTGAAGGTACCCTAAAGACATACAACATGGATTTTTTAAAGAATTTTCGGAGGTTCTCTAAAGGTCTTATGATGTGGACCATTACGGGCTTAAGGCTTGAAAGGTTTAAAGGATTATTAAGGACATAAGGCTGGGATTTTTAAATTGAATATTAAGGACTTAAGGCATGAAAGTTTTAAATGATTTTTAGGACTAATGGTGTACATTTTTGAAAGGATTTTCGATTTTTGAAAGGATTTTCGATTTTTAAAACTATTTAAAGATTTTGGATTTTTTACAGATTTTTTAAACAATTTTGAAGTTTTTTTTTTTTTTTTTTTTTTTTTTTGATTTTCCAAAGGGTATTTTTAATGATTATTAAACTTGGAGACTATAGATTACTCACCCGATGATGGCTCTTCATTTTTCCGAAATCAAATAGATTCCCAGCCTGTTCAGAGGACTAGAAAGAGAAAATAGAAATTAAAACTGGTTAAAATATATATGAAAAAATATAAATTAATTCCCACCTTCATAGCTTCACCGCATCCAACACCCATGAGGGCTAGGAATACCAGCAGGGACGCCATTAACAAAATTCTCATTTTTTCCAAATATTATTTTTTTGTTTCGCTGTTGGTAAAACAATGACTGATGCAAAAATAAATCAATTGTCAGTTATATATTGGCAAGTTTTGAGAAGCTAAAAAACGATAGCGTGTTGTTGATTTTATCGGCTGCCCTGCAATTTGATCACTTGCATGTCCGAAAGCGTTTAACACATTACAACATGCAGCGTTTAGCTTCGTTTACATCAGAGGACAGGAAATGAATAATCCCAGATTGGATTAAATGCTCGGCACTCAGACTATAATTAACTTATCCGGCATAGAAATCTCTTGGAAAAGGAGGAGTTTGGCAGCTTCAATTTAATTTCGATCAAAACATAAAAATACTGGTCCAAAGTATGTAATAAGTGAATTCTGCTCCTCTCTCTGGGTCCTAGAGGCTTTGAGTATATTTTGCTCAAATATTTACAAATACAAACTCCCCCTCTTGGCTTTGACCTGCCTCAGTCGTTCCATTGCCATTTGACGATTATCATTAAATTCATGCGAACGCCAGGGACGGAAATTACAAATTTGTCTACCATGGGCTGGCATATAGGCGAATATGGTGTTGTTCGGCCAGGCATTGCCACAGAGCAGGGGACGCATTGCAAAGTAGACCAGGCGGGACTGTTCCAACATGGCCTTGTTGATGTTCGTGTAGAAATGTTTGCGAATGAAATCGGACTGCAAAAGACAAAACGAATTAAGAAAATGTTTAAAGAATTTTTGGAGGTACCCTTGAGGCCTTACATCGGCGATTTTTTACAGAAATTTTGGAGGTTATGTAGACCCCCTACATCGGGGATTTTTAAAGAGGCTATTTAGAGGTCCTCGGGGATTTTTTTAGGCTATTTAGAGAATATATGGAGATACCCTAAGGCCTCCCATCGGTGATTTTTTACAGAATTTTTGGAGGTACCCTAAAGGCCTTACATTAGGGGAATTTTTACAGACGTTTTGGAGGTTATTTAGAGGTCTTACGTCGGAGATTTTTTAAAGAATTTTGGGAGGCTATTTAGAGGCTTTACATTAGGATTTCTTTATAGAATTTTTGGAGGTACCATAAAGGCCTCGCATCGGGGATTTTCTATAGAAGTTTTGGAGGTTATTTAGAGGTCTTACGTCGGAGATTTTTTAAAGAATATTGGGAGATTATTTAGAGGTTTTACATCGGGAATTTTTACAGAATATTTGGAGGTATCCCAAAGGCCTTACATCGGAGATTTTTATTGCATTTTTGGAGGTACTCCAGAGACCTTACATCGGGGATTTTTTACAGATTTTTTTGGAGGCACAGGAAAGGTCTTACAGCGAGGATTTTATTATAGACATTTTAGAGGTACCATAGAAGCGTTGTTACGTGGATTCTTTAAAGAATTTCGGAGGTACCCCAGAGGGCTTAGATCGTGGATTTTCATAGAATTTTTGGGTGTACCCTAGAGGGGCCCTAAAGCTATTTAGAGTTCCTACGTCGGGGATTTTTTAAAGAATTTTTGGAAGCTACTTTGAGATTATTTAGAGGTACCCTAAAGGCCTTACATCGGGGATTTTTTAAAGAAGTTTTGGAGATACCCTAAAAGACTTACATCGGGGAATTTTTACAGGTACTGTAGAGGCCTTACATCGGGGGTTTTTTATAGAATTTTTGGAGGCTATTTAGAGGTCTTATGTCGGGGAGTTTTAAAATAATTTTTGGAGGCTATTTATATTGGGGATTTTTTATAGAATTTTTGGTGGCTATTTTGGGGCCTTGTTACGTGGATCTTTTAAACATTTTTGGAGGGCCTTGCGACCTGAATTTTTTTTAAGATTTTTGAAGGTACCCTAAAGGCCTTGCAACGAGGATTTTTTAAAGAATTTTCGAAGAATCCTTGAAGGCCTTACAGCGGAATATATTAATGAAATTCTGGAGGCACCGAAAAGGTCTTACAACTTGGAGTTTTAAAGAATTTTCGGTGGCCCCGTGAAGGTCTTACAGCGGAATTTTTTAAAGAATTTTTGGTGGTACCCTTCAGTCCTTATATCGGGGATTTTTTACAGAATTTTTGGAGGCTATTTAGAGGCCTTACACCGGAGATTTTTTATAGGATTTTTAGAGGTACCCAAGTGACCTTACCTCGAGGATTTTTTACAGAATTTTTGGAGGTCTTTCAACATTATTATTTGAATTCTTACTATTTGAAGAATATTTGGAGGTAACTTGAAGAATTTTTTGAGGTACCCTAGGGGCTTTATAACATTTTTTAAAGAATGTTTGGAGGTACCTTAAGGCCGCTCAACGTGGATTTTTGTTAAGAATATTTGGGGTGCCATTATGACCTTTCAACGTGGATTCTTAAATAATTTTTGGAGGTAGCCTTAAAGCTATTCAAAGTGGATTTTTTTTAATTTTTGGGGATACCCTAGAGGCCTTATAGCGGGAATTTTTAAACAGTTTTTGGAAATCCTATAAAAGCCTTACAGCGGGTATTTTTTAAGAATTTTTTGAGATACCCCAGAGGCCTTTCAATATGGATTTTTTTAAGAATTTGTGGAGATACCCTAGAGATCTTACAGCGGGAATTTTTTATGTTTTTTTTTTTTAGAGCTAGCCTATAGGCTTTACTGCGTGGATTTTTGAAGAATTTTTGCAGGTACCCTTAAAGCCTTTCAACGAGGATTTATTATGAATTTTTTAAGGTACCCAATAGGCTATACAAGGCCATTGTTCCAAAAAAAAAATTGGAGGTACCTCAGAGGCCATGGATTTTTTTGAAGAATTTTTGAAGGCAATTTAAAGTCCTTTTCACAAGGATTTTTAAATAATTTTTAGAGCCCCCCTTAAAGGCCTCTCAATTGAGAATTTTTTAAGTCCCTTACCTTTTTCCTCAAATAATCCCGACACGAGTAGTCCACCAAAGAACTAATGCCCAAATCACTTGTGGGTGGCACTGGCACCGTCATCTCCGTATCTATCAAGGCTCGAAAAATACCCTGATCCTGATCACAAAGTTTCGTTAAATACATCCTCGCATAACGTTTGCCATAACGCAAACGGATCCATTCCCGAAGATAGGGCAAACAATGGGCTTCTGGCAGGGATGCTAAAACAAACCTAGGATCCTTTTTCATGCGATCCAAGGCATCCTTTAGCATGCGATCCATGAGCCCTTCATCGTGGGGATCGTAAATTTTCGATTCTTGGGAATTATTCAATTTTTCCAAGTTCTCCTGCTCTTCGAGGCCTTGGTGAAAAGATTTCCAATAACATTTGTCAATGGCCTCTTGGAGTGCCTTCTCGGGGAGATTTGCTTCAAAATATTGTTGTTTTTGCAGCCTATTCAGCAGAGCAATGTCACTGTCTATGGCCTCAAGGAAGGATGATTGGAACTCCATTATCGCAGGGTTGGTAGTTTTAAATTCGAAAATTTTGCGATAATCAAAGTGTGGGCTGTTGTGGTTAGAATTGGGAGCCCAGAAATACTGGGGAGCTGGCAGCGAGGTTCCAGAATTTTGGGAGTGCAAACTTTTAAGGGACTCCAAGGACATATATTTTTCTTTGAAACCCCTTAAACTGGCAGATGATTCCGTCCTTCGACAACAGCTACAATGCTGGCGGCAACCATCTCCTTGACCCACAAGGCAACCACAGTTTTCATTTGGTTTATGATTATCGACCTCTTCTCCTTTGTCACCAGGAATGTCCTTGTTATCCTGACAGGACATTAACATGTCCATTTTCGGCAGGTACTTATTGTGGCAAGCCAAAACTTTGCTGTCATGCCTAACCAGTTGGCCAATTAAACAGCCACAGGATTGACTGGATCTTTGGCCATGGCTGGCTTCATGTCGCCTGCAGGGGATGAGGGTGGCAAAATTGCCACTGCTTTCCCTTTTGCAGGGTGACAGGAAATTGTAAAGGCTCTGCGATTTATTCAGGCCATTGGTAAGGATCTCAAGGATATAATGTTTACGATGTCTCTCCAATTTTGTTTGGAATTCACGGCGATATTTTTCGATGTCTCGCCGGAGACGTTGCATTGTACGGCGGTGGCGTATCTGGAAATTTTGAAAAAAAAAACATCGGATTTTAATAAGTTTTTTTTGCAAGGACTTTTAGGCCTCAAAACTGGGACTTACAAATTTCTCCTCATCCTCCCTCCATGCCTCCGTCGCTGTATTAAAAATAATACCCATTTCATTTTCAAATGACTCCTTGATGTTCTCCAAACTCTGGTGATTTTCTGAAAGTTGTTGGACCTTCGAATTGTCGATCATGAATTTATCAAAATTTTCCTTTAACTCAGAAATCTCCTCATCGCATTTCTCTTTTACCGGATAGTCCTGGAACCAGGGAGGGTTGTGGTCTTGAGCATTGGTTTTCTTTTCAAAACTTTCCAAATGGGCTTTAGCTTTCGGTGGCGAAATGGTGTATTGGGATTTCCTTTGCCTTAAAGTTTTCAGGCTCTCAAAATACGGAGCAAATTTTCCTTTCCGATTTCCATGCCCATCTTGGGGTTTCTTTCTAATTTCCTTTAGGGAATTGCTTGCCGTTTTCATTTCCATTCTGGGATTTCTGGGTAAAATTCTATCCAATTCTCTTAGGGTTTGTGGCAAATCCAATTGGGCAATGGCCGAGTAGATAAGCTGCTCATTGAGAGAGTATATTATAGGAGACTTTTGAGACGGGGTGTCCTGCTCATAAAGCCACTCCTTAAGAAACCATAGAAAAGCAATGGCATTGCCCCGACTGGAGAGCAATAATTTCCAAATTTGCGATGCTGTTGGCAGTGGCTGCAGACCCAAAGTCATTAAACATCCAAATGTTCGATGCGTTGTCTTTTGTCCCAAATCATCACGCATGGCGGTTTGAAGAGATTCGGCTGCCTTCGTTTGAAAAACAGACATGCCTCGAAACCACTGCGGCACATTTAGGGATTTGAGGTAATTTTTAATTAGATTTCTATTTTTCTCCACCAAAGTTTGGGGCATATTTTCGCGGGAGGGGATTTTGACAAAAAAAAAACGAGAATTTTGAAAATTTAAATATTTTCTTTTTTGATAGAGACAAAAATTAAAAAAAAAAAAAAAAAAAATTTCTACACAATTCAGTTAATATTTTTAGAGGGTTGCCAATGGTATTTTTGCAGAAAATACATCCCCTGGAACAAAGTATTCATTTTTTCTGGAGGGGAATTTTGATAAAAAAAAATTAAAAAATTTTGAAAATTAAAATATTTTTTCTTTTGATAGAAACAAAAATTCAAAAATATGAAATTTTCAACACAATTTGCTATTTTTATGGGGTTGCCCGGTTATCGTTTTGAATTTCTGGAATTTTTGAAATTCTGGAACAGATCATATTTAAAAAAAAAATTTTAAACTAACTTTTTAAGTCCTTGAAAGAAATATATTGAAAAACACATTCTTCAACAAGAGTTCCGAAAATAAACAAAACGGGGACTCTATAACCTCAGCACGTACATTTTTAAAGGATTTTTCTCAAAGATTCCTGGGCTGCAAAACGCAAATTTTTAGAGAATTATCTTAAAGACTAACAGATCCCAAACCGTAGATATTAAACCAATTATTTCTAAGAACACCGCGGTCTGAAAACATGGATTTTATTAAAAATTCTTTGAAAGGACAACCAGTTCTTAATTCATAGATTTAGAGATGAAGGATTTTATCAAGGACTCCCAGCCCTCAAAAGTTATGCTTCCAAACGATTTTTTAGGGTTTTTTTTCTAAGACTTCCTTTTAGGACTCTCAGGCATTAAAAATTTATATTTTGTAAAGGATTTCTTTTAAGCCCTTATGGGAGGATTTTTCTCAAGGACTCTCAGACCTTCTAACGAAAAGTTTTAAAAACTCTTTCTCAAGGACTTTTAGCTCTCAAAACGGATACTTTTTAAAGATTGCTTCGTAAGGATTTTCTAGCCCTAAAATATTGATTATTGATTAAAGTTTCTTCCAAAGGACAACCAGTTCTTAAAACATGGTTTTTTTAAGAACTTTATCAAGGACTCTCAGGACTCAAAAGTTAGGCTTTCAGATGTCTTTTTCAGGGTTTTACTTCCAAGCATTTTTTTCTAGCACACTCAGGCATTTTGTAAAAAATATTTTTCAAGCTGATTTTTTTAAAAGAATTTTTCTCAAGGACTCTCAGACCTCCTAAGAAAAGTTTTAAAACTCTTCCTCAAGGACTTTTAGCTCTCAAAACGGATACATTGTTAATAATTTTTTCGTAAGGATTTTCTAACCCTAAAATGTTGACTTTTGATTAAAGTTTTTTTTTCCGAAGGACTACCAGTTCTAAAAACTTGGATTTTTTGAAGGATTTTATCAAAAGCTCTCAGAAAGGAGGCTTTACAATTATTTTTAAGAGATTTTTCCAAGTCTCAGGCCCCAAAATTTAGGGTTTCAACTGATTTTTTTCAGGAATTTTCCAAGCGTTTTTTTATTTTTCCGTGACCTTCATTTTTCAAGACCCTTAGGAGAATTTTTTAAAGGATTTTCCTCAAGGACTTTTCATAAGGACTTTTAGCTCTGAAAACGAATACTTTTTTCAGGAATTTTTCGTAAGGATTTTCTAGCCCTAAAATATTGATTTTTTGATTAAAATTTCTTCCAAAGGACAACCAGTTCTAAATACTTGGATTATTGAAGGATTTTATCAAAGGCTCTCAGGTTCCAGAAAGGAGGCTTTACAATTATTTTTTAAAGATTCTTCCAAATCTTTGTTCTAGGACACTCAAGCATATGAAATCTGATTCTGGATTTCTTTCAAGCCCCAATAGGAGGATTTTTTTAAGGATTTTTTTCCAGGACTCCCAGAGTTCATAACGCGAATTTTTTAAAAGATATTTCTTAAGGACTTTTAGCTCCCAAAACGTATACATTTTTAAGAATTTTTTCGTAAGGATTAGCCCTAAATGCTGATTTTTTTGATTAAAGTTCTTTCTTCGAAAGGACTAACAGTTCTTAAAATTTGTGTTTTTGAAGGATTTTATCAAAGGTCTCAGGCCCAAAAAAGGAGGCTTTCAAATTATTTTTTTAAGGATTTTTCCAAGCGAATTTTTTTGGGACTTAAAAAAATTCAAGCCCCATAGAATGATTTTTAAAGGATTTTTCTCAAGGACTCTACGACCTGCTAACGAAAAGTTTTAAAAACTCTTTCTCAAGGACTTTTAGCTCTCACAACGTATACTTTTTCAGACATTTTTCCTAAGGATTCCCTTTTTTTGACATAAATATTAATTTTTAATTAAAGATTTTCCCCAAGGACTAACAGTACTTAAAATTTGGATTTTTGAAGGATTTTATCAAGGACTCTCAGGTCCCAATAGCTAGGTTTTAAAATGATTTTTTTTTCAGGGATACATAAGTCTCGAAAGTGTTTATTTAAAGAGTATATTCTAGGAATGATGATCGAAAGGATTTTTTCAAGCCCCATACGAGGATTTTTTAAAGGATTTTTCACAAGGAGTCTCAGAGCTCCTAACGAAAATTATTAAAAACTCTTTCTTAAGGACTTATAGCTCTCGAAACGGATACATTTTTAAAGAAATTTTTCATGTGGAATTTCTAGCCCTAAAATGTTGATTTTTGATTAAAGTTTTTTTTTAAGTGCCCTCTGGCCCCAATAGCTAGATTTTTAAATGATTTTTTCAGGAATACTTGAGTCTCAAAAGTTTTTCTTTTAAAGAGTTTTTTCTAAGACTCATATTCTAAAAGATTTTTTCAAGCCCCTATAGGAGGATTCTTTGAAGGATTTTTCTCAAGGACTCTAAAATCTTATAACGCGGATTTTTTAAAGATAGCGGATAGGTGTCCCACGGTGACACTTAGACTTAAAAATGTTGATTTTTTAAACTAATTTTCTGAGGAAATCGCTGGCTTTATAAAGGTTTTTATATTTTGAATAAATATAAGACCTATGGACGTGGATAAAAAAATTGATTTTGTAAAGGATTTTTTTTAAAGCCTTAAAGATTTTTCTCAAGGACTTTCGGAGCTCATAAGATCTTTCTCAAGGACTTTTAGGTCTAAAAATGGATACTTTTTTAAGGATTGTGTCATAAGGATTTTCTAGCCCTTAAATGTTTTCTTAGAAGGACTCTTAGGTTCCAAAAGTATGATTTTTAAAAGACTTACTCAAAAACTCTTAAGAATCTGACCCAAAGACTTTTAATCCTCAAAATGGTCATGATTTAAAGGCGTTTCTTCCCTAGGACTTTTAACCCTCAAAGGATTTTTCAATGACTTTCATGGCTAAACGTTAAGATTTGCGGAGGATAAAAAGGCCTCAAAACGTGGATTTTTTAAGATTTTTCAAAATGATACTTCGCTCTCAAAATGTGGAGTTTGAAAAGTATTTTTTCTGAATGATCCTCTGGCCTCAAACATTGGATTTTGGGGATTTTCTTTTCCCGATGACTTCCAGATCTCAAACTGCTAATTTTTAGTGGTTTTCCCAAGGACCATTACTATGTGAAGTTCGAAAAGATTTTTTCTGAATGATCTTCTGGCCTCAAAACTTGGATTTTTAAGGATTTTTTTCTCAAAGACTTCCAGATCTCAAACTGCTGGTTTGTAGTGATTTTTCTCAAGGACTTTTAGTCTCCAAAATGTGGATTTTTTTAAAGAACAATTTCTCAGGACTCTTAAGCTTAAAAACGTAGACTTTTAACGTTAAGCTCTTCAAAGGATTAAAAGGCCTCAAAACGTGGAAAAAAGGAACTATTGGCCTAAAATCGTGGATTTTTTGGAAATTTTTCGCAATGACTTCCAGATCTCAAACTGCCGATTTTTAGTGGTTTTCCCAAGGACTATTACTATGTGAAGTTTGGAAAGTATTTTTCTAAAAGATCTTCTGGTCTTAAAACGTGATTTTTAAAGTTTTTTTCGCAATGACTTCCAGATCTCAAAACGCGGATTTTTAGTGGTTTTTCTCAAGGACTATCGGTCCCCAAAATGTGGATTTTTAAGAAAAAATTCTCAAGCACTCCTAAACTTAAAAACTTAGACTTTTTAATGGATTTTTTTTTGTTTTTTTTTTTTTTTTTTTTTTTTTTTTTTTTTTTGAAGGACTATTAAACTTGAATATGCTATTTTTTTAACGGATTTTTCTCAAGGATTCATAGGTCACATAACGTGGATTTTTAGAGGATACTTCTGTGGAACTCGCAGCCATTAAAATGTGGAGTTTATATCTAAATCTAAAGAAAATACCAGTTCTATTCTGTGTCCTTAAAAATATTTTTAAAATCTCCAGGTTTAAGGGTCGTAAAAAAATAAAAAAATATTTTAGAAAATCCAGATCTGTCGGTTTCGCCAACAAATATATAGTCTCAGTCAAATGGAGGCATTTCGCATTTTATGAGCTTTATGGTTATTAAAAATTTTGACCCTTTGTGGAGAGGGGGTACCAGAAGGAGTGATCCGATCCACACCATCTTCATATGAGACCTAGAGTTGGTAGAAATGTTGGAATATGCGAAAGCTAAAAACAGTTGGCCTCTTATTTCACAATTTAAAGGCGTTGAGGTAAAAGAAGGAGTGATCCGACCTCATCTGTCTACCAGACCTAGAATTGTTAGAAATATTGGGTTATGCAAAATTGAAAGACAATTGGACCCTTATTTCAGATTTCAGAAAGCCTTGAGGTTATTCCAAATTTTGACCCTTTGTGAGGGAGGTACCAAAAGAAGTTGGTCCATATTATTCATTATCCCACCCAACAAAGCTCTGATAAAAATATGAGGGCTTAGAAAGATTGAAGACGATCGACTGATCTTCTCTTGTTCCACAAGCTGTCTGTGAAAACGTTGACCTTTTGTGGGGGGAGGTATCAAAATGAGTGGACCGATATTGACCGATGTTCCAAGTTTGAAACAAATCGAAAGCTTCCTTCGAGAGTTATTGAACCTAACAGATAGACAGACGGACGAACGGATTGACATCCCTGGATCATCTCCAAATGTCCTTAAACAGATTT